ACGGGGGGACATGGGGGGACATGAGGGAACATGGGGGGACATGGGGGGACATCGGGGACACTGGGGGGACACGGGAGCAGGGAGCCGGCACCATGGCCAGCGCCTTCTAAAAACCCACAGATTCCTGTCCTATAAACTTATAGATTGCTGCTCTATGACCCCACAGATCCCTGTCCTACGACCCAACAAATTCCTGCTCTATAACCCCAAATATCCATGCCCTATAAACCCACACATTCCTGCCCTATGTCCCCCCAGACTGCTGCTCTATCACCCCACACATCCCTGCCCTATAACCCCATACATCCCAGTTCTATAAACCCACAGATCTCTGCCCTACAACACCACAGATTCCTGCCCTATAAACCTACAGGTTGCTGCTGATAACCCCACACATCTCTGCCCTATAACCTCACAGATTGCTATTCTATAAACCCACAGATTGCTGCCCTATAGACCCACACATTCCTGCTTTATAACCCACAGATTCTTGCCCCATCACCCCACCGATTCCTGTCCTATAAACCTACAGATTCCTGCCCTATAACCCCACACGTCCCTCCCCACTGCCCCCCACATCCCTGCAGTCTAACCCCACATCTCTGCCCCATTGCCCCCAGATCCCCCCATCATGGCCCCCCATATCTCTGCCCCATTGCCCCCCCGGGGCATTCGGGGCCGTGTGGGCGGGGCCTCGTGGCGTGATGAACTTTGTTAATTAAATTATGCACGTCCAGGGCTGACGGGGCTTCTGTTGTTAAATGCGCGGTCGGGCGAGGCGGCAAACTGCGCGGTCGTGCTGTCAGGCTGCGCAGCCACGAAATGAGGTTTGCGATTGTACGAAAAACGCAATTAGGGCTGAAAATGAGCTTTTTTCAGGCGGTTTTGGGGCCATTTCGGGGATTTGGAGGCTTTCGGGGCGAAGAAATGTAGGGAAACCTGAAAGAAAAAAAAAACGGAGAGAAAACGGAGGAAATCATTTCACACAAAAAAAAGGAGACAGAAGTGTGAGGAAAAAAATGCGGAAATTGGGAAAATCCTGAGGCAAAAAACGCGGGAAAAGCCGCTCTGGGTGTGGGGTCCTCTGCGCGGCGTTGCCCTTTTAAGAAGGGGCGTGGCCTCCATCCCCGCCCCTGGCGCCACGCCCCGAGCCCCGCCCCCAGCCGGGCTAGCCCCGCCCCTTCGGGCCCGGGCGCGGCCGCAGCCCCGGAGCCGCCGGAACCCCCCGGGACCCCCGGAACCCCCGAGAACCCCACCGGGAACCCCCTGAGAACCCCCAGAACCTCCGGGACCCCCCGGGACCCCCGGGCCGGAGCAGCCCCGGGACCCCCGGAGCCCCCCGGGATCCCCCGGGACCCCCGGGACCCCCGGGCCGAGGGAATGCGGCACCGCGGGGCCGGTGAGCGGCGGTGTCGGGGGCTCAGGGGGCGAATCCGGGGTGCAGGAGCAGGTTAAGGGGGCTGCAGGGGAATTTAGGGGTGTTTGGGGGGGCTATAGGGGAATTTTAGGGTTGTAGGAACGGGTTTAAGGGGGGCTATAGGGGAGTTTAGGGGGGCTGTAGAGGATTTAAGGGGTGCAGGAGCAGGTTTAGGGGGGCTATAGGGGATTTAAGGGGTGCAGGAACAGGTTTGCGGGGGCTATGGGAAGTTTAAGGGGTGCAGGAGCCGGTTTAGGGGGATATAGGGAAATTTTAGGGTTATAGGAACTGGTTTAGGGGGGCTACAGGGGAATTTAGGGGTGTTTAGGGGGGCTGTAGGAGAATTTTAGGCGTGCAGGAGCAGGTTTGGGGGGGCTATAGGAGATTTAAGGGATGCAGGAACAGGTTTGGGGTGAACTCAGGGGTGTAGGAACAGGTTTAGGGGGGCTATGGGAAGTTTAGGGGGGCTATAGGGGATTTAAGGGGTGCAGAACCAGGTTTAGGGGGGAACCTGAGGCACCTCAGGGCTCCCGAGCAGCTCTGGGGGTGCCCGGTGGGATTTGAGGGGCGACCCTGTGGGATTTTGGGGTGTCTCGGGGTGTGTTTAGGGGGGGCGTGCGGACCCCCTCCTCACCATTCCCACTCAGGGGTGGCTCAGACCCGGGGGGACACCCCCACATTTTGGGGCTGGGGGTGTGTTTGTTTTCGGGGGCTCTCCTCGAGGGAGGGTGGGCTGTGCCGGGGGGGTCCCGCTCCCCGGGAGGGGGCAGGGGAGGTGGGCGAGGCCGTGTCGGGGCTCTGTCGCCGCAGGCTGAGGCTGCGGGCATGGCGGGCGCCTCGGTGAAGGTGGCGGTGCGGGTGCGGCCCTTCAGCGCCCGGGAGAGCGGCCGCCAGGCCAAGTGCGTCATCCAGATGCGGGGCAACACCACCTGTGAGTGGGCAGGGGGCTCCTGGCAGGGTGGGGAGGGGGTCTGCAGGGTGGGGGGCTGCTCCCGGACCCACCCCCCCCCACCCCACCTTGTCCCTGTCCTTGTCCCGTGCTGGCCCCGAGCCCGGAGGAGCAGCTGCCGCCGGGCTAAAAATAGCACCCGTGTTGTTTTTTGGGGGGGTGAGGGCGCGGTGGGGGCTGAGGTGACGCCGTGGGGGTCACCCCGAGCTCGGTGTCACCTCTGTGCCCCCCAGGCATCACCAACCCCAAGCTCCCCAAGGATGGCACCAAGAGCTTCACCTTCGACCACTCCTACTGGTCCCACACCTCGGTGAGCATGGGCACGCCTGGGGGGTCCCCGGGGGGGACTGGGGGGTCCCTGACTGCCTCCCCTGCAGGAGGAGGACCCCAACTTCGCCTCGCAGCGCCGGGTGTACCAGGACATCGGGGAGGAGATGCTGGAGCACGCCTTCCAGGGCTACAACGTCTGCATCCTGGCCTACGGGCAGACGGGCGCCGGCAAGTCCTACACCATGATGGGGCGGCAGGAGCCGGGGCAGCGCGGCATCATCCCGCAGGTCCGGGGGCTGGGGGGGCTCCCGGGGGCTGGGGGAGGCCGGGAGACCCCCCCCCAGCCCCCCAGCCCCCCGCTCAAGGCAGCTCGCCCGCAGCTCTGCGAGGATCTGTTCGCCCGCGTCGCCCGGGAGGGGTCACCTGAGGTCTCCTTCTCTGTGGAGGTGAGGGGGGTTTGGGGTCTGGGGTTTGGGGTCACCTGAGGTTTCCTTTTCCGTGGAGGTGAGAGAAATTTGGGGTCTGGGGTCTCCTGAGGTTTCCTTCTCTGTGGAGGTGAGAGGAGTTTGGGGTCTGGGGTTTGGGGTCATCCAAGGTTTTCTTCTCTGTGGAGGAGAGGGGAGTTTGGGGGTTTGGGAAGGGTCTCCTGAATTTTCCTTCTCTGTGGAGGTGAGAGGAGTTTGGGGTTTGGGGTCTCCTGAGGTTTCTGTGGAGGTGAGGGGGAGTTTGGGGGTTCAGACCATGACCCCCAGCTTGCAAAGACCCCCAGACAATTTCAGTGTTCAGCCCCTGCAGACTCACCCCACAACCCCACAAGAGTTTGGGGGCTCATCTGCCCCCCATGCCAACACTTTGGGGGCTCAGTTCCCCTCCATCCCAACACTTTGGGACATTTCCCCCCTTCCATTTGAGGCTTCCTCCCCCCAACACCTCCTCCGATCCCCCCCAATTTTTATTTTGCCTCGGGGCCCCCCAGGTGAGCTACCTGGAGATCTACTGCGAGCGGGTGCGGGACCTGCTGAACCCCAAGAGCGGCGGGGGGCTGCGGGTGCGGGAGCACCCCCTGCTCGGGCCCTACGTGCAGGACCTGTCCCGCCTGGCCGTCGCCTCCTTCGCCGACATCGCCGACCTCATGGACAGCGGCAACAAGGCCAGGTGAGGCCTGGAGGGGCGTGGGGACCCCCCGAGCCCCGCGGAGCCGGGCAGGCACCGAGGGCGCTGCCGAAATCCCGCGCAGGACGGTGGCGGCCACCAACATGAACGAGACCAGCAGCCGCTCGCACGCCGTGTTCACCGTGGTGCTCGGCCAGCGCCGCCAGGACCCGCTCAGCGAGCTCAGCTCCGAGAAGGTCGGGGGAGCGCCCGCCCCGTGCTGGATTGCCCTGAAATACCCCCGAAATCCTCCTGAAATCATCGCCCGAGACCCCCTGAAATACCCCTGAAATCCATCTGGAATCATCCCCTGAAATCACCCTGAAATCATCTACTGAGACCCCCTGAAATCACCCCCTGAAATACCCCTGAAATCCTCCTGAAATCACCCCGATATCCCCCTGAAATCACCCTGAAATCATCTCCTGAGACTCCCTGAAATCACCCCCTGAAATACCTCTGAAATCCCCCTGAAATCATCTCCAGAAATCCACCTGAAATCCTCCTGAAATCACCCTGAAATCATCTACTGAAACCCCCTGGAAACACTGCCTGAAATTACTCTTAAATCACCCCCTGAAATCCCCCTGAAATCACCCTGAAATAATTTCCTGAAATCACCCAGAAATTATCCTGAAATCATCTCCTGAGACTCCCTGAAATCACCCCCTGAAATACCTCTGAAATCCCCCTGAAATCATCTCCAGAAATCCACCTGAAATCCTCCTGAAATCACCCTGAAATCATCTGCTGAGACCCCCTGGAAACACTGCCTGAAATTACTCTTAAATCACCCCCTGAAATCCCCCTGAAATCATCTCCTGAAATCCACCTGAATTTTCCCTGAAATCAGCCCAAAATCGCCCTGAAATCATCTCCAGAAATCCCCCTGAAATCATCTCCAGAACTCCACCTGAATTCCCCATGAAATCCCCCCCTGAAATTGCCTTGAAATCCACCTGAAATTCTACTGAAATCCCCCCAGAGCCCCCCAAAATTCACCATCATCTTCATCCACCGATCAGCAATTCTCCCCCCTCCCTCAAATCGCCCCCACAATTCCACCAAGCCCCCTCCCCAAATTTTCCCCCAGACCCCCTCGCGCCCCCGTTTCCCCCCAGAATCCTCCCCAAAGCCCCCCCAAAGCCCCCCCCAAAATCCGCGCTCCCCACCCCCCAGAGCCCTCCTGAGCCTTCCTCCCCCTCCTCCTCCTCCCCAGGAAGGCGCCAACATCAACAAGTCCCTGACCACGCTGGGCAAGGTCATCTCCGCCCTGGCCGAGGCCGTGAGTCTGGGGGTCACCCCCCTCCCTGCGCCCACCCTCGGGGGTCCCCTCTGTTATTTTTTGGTGGCCCCCCAACCCATCTTCATCCCTCCTCCTCCTCCTCCTCAGCAGGCCAGCAAGAAGAAGAAGCCGGACTTCATCCCGTACCGCGACTCGGTGCTGACGTGGCTGCTGAAGGAGAACCTGGGTGGGCTTGGGGGGTCCTGGGGAGGGGGTCTCGGGGCGCTGAGCCCCCCCTGACCCCGCTGTCCCCCCCCAACAGGAGGGAACTCTCGCACGGCCATGATCGCCGCGCTGAGCCCGGCCGACTGCAGCTACGAGGAGACGCTGAGCACGCTGCGGTGAGCGGGGGGCTCGGGGAGGGTCTCTGCCCCTCGTCTGTGCCCCAGCACGGGAAAAGGCGGCTCTGGGCAGGGGTTTGGGGGGTCCTGGGGGGCTCTGGGTGGGTTTGGGGGCGTTGAGAGGCTGTGGAAGGTGCTCAGGGTGAGATTTGGGGGTTCTGGGGGGCTCTGAGGGGGCAGGGGTTTGGGGGGCTCTGAGTGGATTTGGGGGCGTTGAGAGGCTGTTGAAGGTGCTCAGGGTGAGATTTGGGGGTTCTGGGCAGGGGTTTGGGGGGCTCTGAGTGGATTTGGGGGTGTTGAGAGGCTGTGGAAGGTGCTCAGGGTGAGATTTGGGGGTTCTGGGGGGATTTGGGGGTGTTCAGAGGTGTTGAGAGGCTGCAGGAGCTGCTGGGGGCCCAGGGTGAGGTTTGGGGGGGTTTGGGGGGCCCAGGGTGAGATTTGGGGGGATCTGGGCCACGCTTTGAAGAAGGAGTCTGGACTCTTGCGTTTTCAGTTTTCAGTTGTGTTTATTATTTCTTATCTACAAAGTTTTTCTGTCTGTCCAGCCGGGGTCTGATCAGCAGGGCAGCCCAAAGCACTCTGATTTTTAGGGGGCACGGATTTGGGTGTTGGTTGCAGAGAGGTTTTGGGGGGCACGGCTGTGGTGCTGGGGGTGTGATGTGGGGGTGCAGGAGGTGACACCCCCCCCCCCAAACCCGGCCCCCCCCTCTTCCCCCCAAGGTGCTCAGGGTGAGATTTGGGGGTTCTGGGCAGGGGTTTGGGGGGCTCTGAGTGGATTTGGGGGTGTTGAGAGGCTGTGGAAGGTGCTCAGGGTGAGATTTGGGGGTTCTGGGGGGATTTGGGGGTGTTCAGAGGTGTTGAGAGGCTGCAGGAGCTGCTGGGGGCCCAGGGTGAGGTTTGGGGGGGTCCTGGGGGGCCCAGGGTGAGGTTTGGGGGGATCTGGGCCACGCTTTGAAGAAGGAGTCTGGACTCCTGCTTTTTCAGTTTTCAGTTGTGTTTATTATTTCTTATCTACAAAGTTCTTCTGTCTGTCCAGCCGGGGTCTGATCAGCAGGGCAGCCCAAAGCACTCTCCCCCACCCACGGGGCGATTGTGTCTTTTACAGTGAAAATTACGTGTATTTAGCTTCTATTCCCAATACTTTTCACCCTCGTTGGCATGTGCACCTTCACCATGAACCAATCCACACGTGCCAACATCATCCTGAGCGTGATGCCGGGGAGAAGAACGAAGAAGGACAGGGCACGCCCAAATCCCCCCATCCCGGGACCCCCGACCCCCGTGTGCAGGATCCCAAACCAACACTCAAAACCCCAGTACAGTGCACATCATCCTGAGCGTGATGCCAGGGAGAAGGACGAAGAAGGACAGGGCACGCCCAGATCCCCCCATCCTGGGACCCCTGACCCCCATGTGCAGGATCCCAAACCAACACTCAAAACCCTCCTGTACAGTGCGTTATAATTTAAGTTTCACCCAGTGAATATCACCCCTCACCATCCAAACCTGAACTCCTCTCATCTCCTCACGCTCAGGTGTCATTTCTGTAGGGGGATCAAAGCCGCCGGGCGCTTTTGGAGCATCCCAGGGGTTGTCTCTGGACACACCAGAGTGATGTGCTGAGCTCCCACAGGGACCCTTCCCCTCTGGGGGGGGTCCGGACCCTCACCCTGTCATTTTTGTGCCCCCCAAGCTACGCCGACCGCACGAAGCGGATCCGGTGCCACGCGGTGATCAACGAGGACCCGAACGCGCGGCTGATCCGCGAGCTGCGCCGGGAGGTGGCGAGGCTGCGCCGGCTGCTGGGGGCCCAGGGTGAGACTGGGGGTCTGGGGGGTCCTGGGGGGGATTTCAGGGTGCTCAGAGGCTGCGCCGGCTGCTGGGGGCCCAGGGTGAGACTGGGGGTCTGGGGGGTCCTTGGGGAGCCCCCCCTGGGCCCCACCGAGGCCATGGAGCGGCTGCAGGTGACCCCAAAACCCCTCCCAGCCCCCTCCCCAATTCACATCCCGGGGAGGAGGGGGGGGGGCTGTGCCCCCCTCCCCCAAACCGTGGGGACCCCCAAAAATTATTTCTCCCCCCCCAGGAGACGGAGAAAATCATCGCCGAGCTCAACGAGACCTGGGAGGAGAAGCTGAGGCGCACGGAGGCGCTGAGGCTGGAGCGGTGAGGGGGGGTCCCGGACCCCCAGCACGCCCCCAAAACCCTCCCCGACCCCCCAAAACACCCTGAACCCCCCCGGCCTCACCACCATCACCCCAAATTCTCTTTATCGCCCTCAGTGCCCCCCCCAGCAGTTCCTAAAGTCCCCCAGACCCCCTCCAAGCCCCCCACACCCTCTGGGACCCCTCCCCAAATTCCGTGTGCCCCCAGGGAGGCGCAGCTGGCTGAGATGGGGGTGGCTCTGCGCGAGGACGGCGGCACCGTGGGCGTCTTCTCCCCCAAAAAGGCAAGTCAGACCTGGGCGGGGGCTTCACCCCGAGGTTGGGGGGCTCCCCAAACCCCCGACCCCGTTTTTATTTCTGCGCCCCCCTCCCCTAAAAAGACCCCGCACCTGGTGAACCTCAACGAGGACCCGCTGATGTCCGAGTGCCTCCTGTACCACATCAAGGACGGCGTCACCAGGTGGGTTTGGGGGGGGGTGAGGCGCCCCCAAACCCCCTCAGCGCCCCCCCAGGGCCCCCCCAAATGCCCGTGTGCCCCCCGTTTCAGGGTGGGCCGGGTGGACGTGGACATCAAGCTGTCGGGGCCGTCCATCCGCGAGCAGCACTGCCTCTTCCGCAGCCGCCCCGACCCCTCGGGGGAAGGTACAGATTTTGGGGTGCCCCCCGCCCCTTTCCCAGCCCCCTCCTGGCACGCTTTAATTCCTTTTTGTCCCCCCTCCCCACAATGCTGCCACTGGAGCACGGCCCCCCAAGGTATCGCGGCGTGCCGGTGGGAGAGGGAGGGTCCTGGGGGGGTTTGGAGTGGGATTTGGGGGGGTTTGGGGTGGGTTTGGGGTTCAGCTGAGCGGGGAGGTGACCCCCACCCCTCTCCTGTCCCCTGCTGAAGCCGTGGTGACGCTGGAGCCGTGCCAGGGCGCCGAGACCTACGTCAACGGCAAGCAGGTGACGGAGCCGGTGGTGCTCAAGTCGGGTAGGGACCCCCCAAAAAACCCTCCCACATCTCCCCAAAACCCCCCTCCCCACATCCCTGTGCCTCTCATTGATCCGCCCCCCCCCCTTTCCCCCAAAACCCACGGCGACGCCCTCCAACCCCTGTTCCCTGCTTGAACCCCCCCAAAACCCCTCCGTGACCCCCGGGACCCCCCCCCAAACCAGGCCACCGGCTGATCCTGGGCAAGAACCACGTGTTCCGCTTCACGCACCCGGAGCAGGCGCGGCGCGAGCGCGAGCGGGGGGCGTCCCCCGGGCCCCCCCCGGACTGGAACCTGGCGCAGAGGGAGCTGCTGGAGCAGCAGGGCATCGACATGCGCCTGCAGAGGTGGGGGCACGGCTGGGGGGCGCTGGGGGGCTGCTCTGAGGGATGGGGGGCTCACCCTGTGTCCCCCCCGTGTCCCCCCCCAGGCTGCAGGAGCTGGAGAACCAGCCCCAGGGGGAGAAGGAGGAGTCGGAGCAGGCGCAGGTGAGGGGGGCACGGGGGTCCTTTGGGAATGCTGCAGGTCCCCTGGGTGTCACAGGTGTCCCCTCAGTGTCCCATGACCATCCTGGGTGCATCCTGGGGGTCGCCCAGGGATGTTTTGGGTGTTTTGTTTGTCCCATGGGTGTTTTGGTTGTCCCACGACCATCCTGGGGGGTCTCCCGGGGGTGTTTTGGGTGTCCCACGACCATCCTGGATGTGTCCTGGGGGTATTTTAGAGGTGTTTTGGGTGCCCCATGACCACCCTGGGTGCATCCTGGGGGTCTCCTGGGGGTGTTTTGGGTGTTTGTTTGTCCCATGGGTGTTTTGGGTGTCCCATGACCATCCTGGACCATCCTGGATGTGTTCTGGGTGTGTTTTGGGTGTCCCACGACCACCCTGGGTATATCTCAGGGGGCTCCCAGGGGTGTTCTGGGTGTCCCATGACCATTCTGGCATTTTGGGTGCCCCATGACCACCCTGGACCATCCCAGGGGTCTCCTGGGGGTGTTTTGGGTGCCCCACGCCCACCCTGGTTATATCCTGGGCGTCTCCCGGGTGTGTTTTGGGTATCCCATGACCATCCTGGGGTGTTTTGGGTGCCCAATGACCACCCTGGGGGTGTTTTGGGTGCCCCACGCCCACCCTGGTTATATCCTGGACGTCTCCTGGGTGTGTTTTGGGTATCCCATGACCATCCTGGGTGTGTCCTGGGGGTATTCTGGGTGTCCCATAACCACCCTGGGGTGTTTTGGGTGCCCAATGACCACCCCGGGGGTGTTTTGGGTGCCCCACGCCCACCCTGGTTATCTCCCGGGGGTCTCCCGGGTGTTTTGGGTATCCCATGACCGTCCCAGGGTGTGTCCTGGGTGTGTTTTGGGTGCCCAATGACCACCCTGGGGGTGTTTTGGGTGTCCCATGGCCATCCTGGTGGCATTCTGGGTGCCCCACGCCCACCCTGGTTATACCCTGGGCGTCTCCCGGGTGTGTTTTGGGTGCCCCATGACCACCCTGGTTATATCCTGGGTGTCTCCCGGGTGTGTTTTGGGTGTCCCATGACCAGCCCGGCCGCCGCGACGGCTGGCACACCGTGGCCCGCGACGTGTGGGACGCCGTGGGCGGCGGCGAGGACGAGGAGGAGGAGGAGCAGGAGGAGGAAGGAGGGGGTGAGCGCGGCAGTGAGGTGGAGGGGCTGCGGCTGCACCTGGAGCGGCTGGCGGGGGTCCTGCGCGAGGTGCGGCGGCAGAGCAGCGCCAAGGAGGAGCAGCTGCGCGCCCTGCGGCGCCGCCTGGGCCGGATGGAGCGCGCCGTGCCGCTGCCGCCGGTGAGAGAGCCCCAGGGAGACACGGAGAACCCCAAAGAACCCAAAAGAACGGGGTCTGCCTGGCCCAGAGAGCCCCACAGAGCCCCACCCTGGGGTCTGCCTCATCCCCAGCCCCCCAAAGACCCCCAAAGAATCCCAAAGAGCCCCAAGAAACAGGGTCTGCCCAGCCCCAGAGAGAGTCAGAGAACCCCAAAGAGCCCCAGGGAGCCCCAAGAACCCTAATGAGCCCCAGGGAGCCCCAAAGAACCCCAAAGAATCCCAAAGAGCCCCAAGAAACAGGGTCTGCCCAGCCCCACAGAGAGTCAGAGAGCCCCAGGGAGCCCCAAGAACCCCAGAGAACCCAAAAGAACAGGGTCTGCCTGGCCCAGAGAGCCCCACAGAGCCCCACCCTGGGGTCTGCCTCATCCCAAGACCCCCAAAGAGCCCCAGAGAGTGGGGTCTGCCCAGCCCCAAGAGCCCCCGAGAGACCCACCCTGGGGTCTGCCTCATCCCAAGACCCCCAAAGAGCCCCAGAGAGTGGGGTCTGCCCAGCCCCAAGAGCCCCCGAGAGACCCACCCTGGGGTCTGCCTCATCCCAAGACCCCCAAAGAGCCCCAGAGAGTGGGGTCTGCCCAGCCCCAAGAGCCCCCGAGAGACCCACCCTGGGGTCTGCCTGATCCCCTAAAGACCCCCAAAGAATCCCAAAGAGCCCCAAGAAACAGGGTCTGCCCAGCCCCAGAGAGAGTCAGAGCCCAGCCCCCCCGCGACGGCGGCCTGCGCTTCCCCTTCAAGAGCAACCCCCAGCACCGCCTGGCTTGGGGAGGGGGCGACGCCCCCCGGAACGAGTGCAGCCCCCCCCCAGCGCCCCCCAACAGGAGGGGGTCTCTGGACGGGGGGTCGCCGCCGCCCCCTCCCCGTGTGCGCCGCCAGCGCTCGGCCCCCGATTTGAAGGCGCGGGGTCCTGCCCCGTAAGGGGTGAGGGGGTTTGGGGACGCCCCCTCCCCTAAATGGACAATCAATCACGCCCCCTCCCACCCAAAATCGGGGGTCTCCCCGCCCCGGGGAGCCCCCAGCTGCTGTCACACTGCCCCCCGCCCCCCCGCGCGTGTGTGTGTGTCTGTGGGAGTGCCTAATTAATGGCGGTGCCGCTAATTAAACGCGAGAGTCTCGTTTTTTTGGGCGAGCCCCCTCCCCAATTTGTGGCGCGGCCTCGCCGCTGGCCCCGCCCACTCCAGCCTGGCAGCTCCAGGCCACGCCCCTTAGGGCGGGGTCAGGACCGCTCCTCTTTGCATTTGTGGGCGTGGCGTTACATCAAGCCACGCCTCCCCACGCTGGCAGAGCGGCGCGGTGCCCTCCAGCCCCGCCCCTTTGGGCGTGTCCCGGGCCGGCCCCGCCCCTTCCCGCTCGGTGCCGCCCCCGTTCCCCCCCGGTGCCCCCGGTGCCGTTCGCCATGAGCCGCCTCGGGCCGCCGCTGCTGCTGCTGCTGCTGGGGGCGCTGGGCCCGCCCCGGGCCGGGGGCCAGGAGCCGCCGCCGAGCCCCCCGCCCCCCGCCCGGCACAACGCCAGCAGGTACCGGACCCGGGACCCCCGAGACCCCCGGGACGGACCACCGGGAACCCCGGGACGGGACCCCCGGGACGGCACCTTGAGACCCCCGGGACCTCCGGGACGGGACCCCGGGACCACCGGGACGGCACCTTGAGACCCCCGGGACCTGCGAGATCCCTGGTTACATCAAGCCACGCCTCCCCACGCTGGCAGAGCGGCGCGGTGCCCTCCAGCCCCGCCCCTTTGGGCGTGTCCCGGGCCGGCCCCGCCCCTTCCCGCTCGGTGCCGCCCCCGTTCCCCCCCGGTGCCCCCGGTGCCGTTCGCCATGAGCCGCCTCGGGCCGCCGCTGCTGCTGCTGCTGCTGGGGGCGCTGGGCCCGCCCCGGGCCGGGGGCCAGGAGCCGCCGCCGAGCCCCCCGCCCCCCGCCCGGCACAACGCCAGCAGGTACCGGACCCGGGACCCCCGAGACCCCCGGGACGGACCACCGGGAACCCCGGGACGGGACCCCCGGGACGGCACCTTGAGACCCCCGGGACCTCCGGGACGGGACCCCGGGACCACCGGGACGGCACCTTGAGACCCCCGGGACCTGCGAGATCCCTGGGACCCCCGGGACGGGACCCTCGAGACCCCCGGGACAGACCACCGGGAACCCCGGGACGGGACCCCTGAGACCCCCGGGACCTCCGGGACGGGATCCCCGACACCCCCGGGACGGGATCCCCGGGAACCCCGGGACGGCACCGACGGGACCCCCGGGACCTCCCCCGGGACGTGGCAGCCGCGGCGGCACCGCCACCCCCGCGGACGGGGCGGGACAGCCTCGTCCGGGACCCCCCCGGGCACCGGGACCTCCCTCAGAACCGGGACCCGGGACCCCCGCCCTGGGTTTCCCCGGCCTGGGACTCCCGCCCTGGTTTTCCCGTCCCGGGACCCCCGCCCTGGTTTCCCCGTCCCGGGACCCCCTCTCTGGGGTTTCCCGGGACCCCCGTGACGCCGCCGTGCCCCCCAGGCCGGTGTGGCCGGTGTTCCCGTGCGGGGGGGACCACCACGGCGAGTCGGGGTTCATCGCCAGCGAGGGCTTCCCGCGGCACTACCCCCTCCCGGGACCCCCTCTCTGGGTTTCCCCGTTCCGGGACCCCCGCTCTGGGGTTTCCCCGTCCCGGGACCCCCGCTCTGGGTTTCCCGGGACCCCCGTGACGCCGCCGTGCCCCCCAGGCCGGTGTGGCCGGTGTTCCCGTGCGGGGGGGACCACCACGGCGAGTCGGGGTTCATCGCCAGCGAGGGCTTCCCGCGGCACTACCCCCCCGGCAGCAACTGCACCTGGACCATCACGGTACGGCCCCCGACCCCCGGGCACCCCCCGACCCTCGGGGCACCCCNNTCGTGTCCCCAATGTCCCCTGCTGTCCCCAGGTGCCCGAGGGCCAGGTGGTGACCCCAATGTCCCCTGCTGTCCCCTGCTGTCCCCAGGTGCCCGAGGGCCAGGTGGTGACCCCAGAGTGTCCCCACAGTGTCCCCAAAGTCCCTGCTGTCCCCAGGTGCCCGAGGGCCAGGTGGTGACCCCAGAGTGTCCCCACAGTGTCCCCAAAGTCCCTGCTGTCCCCAGGTGCCCGAGGGCCAGGTGGCCACGCTGTCGTTCCGCGTCTTTGACCTGGAGCCGGAGCCGCGCTGCCGCTTCGACGCGCTCTCGGTGTTCGGCGGCCACGGCCCCGCGGCGCCGCTGCTCGGCCGCTTCTGCGGCACCTTCCGGCCCGGGGCGCTGCGGGCGCCCCAAAACCGCCTCCTGCTGCGCATGGAGAGCGACGGCGGCACCGCCGGCAGGGGCTTCCTGGCCTGGTTCAGCGCCGGCAGCCCCCCGAGCCACGGTGCGCCGGGGGACCCCCGAAATGGGGGGAAATGGGGGGAAATGGGGGCAGCGCCGCCGCGGGGAGCAGGGAGAGCGCGGGGGTCAGTCCATGGGGACCCCCAAAAATCGGGGGGAAATGGGGTGGGGAGCAGGGAGAGCGCGGGGGTCGGTCCATGGAGACCCCCAAAATGGGGGGAAATGGGGGGAAATTGGGCAATGGGGCAATGGGGGCAGCGCCGCCGGCGGGGAGCAGGGAGAGCGCGGGGGTCAGTCCATGGAGACCCCCAAAAATCGGGGGGAAATGGGGCGGGGAGCAGGGAGAGCGCGGGGGTCAGTCCATGGAGACCCCCGAAACTGCCCGGAGGGTGGAGAGGGGTGGGAGCGTCACGGGGGGTGTGGGGAGAGGGGGAGAGCCCCAAAGGGCTGGCGGGGGGCCTGGGGAGAGGTGGGGGAGTGAGGAGAGAAGAGGGGGAATGAGGAAAAAACAGCAGGAATGAGGAAAGAACAGCGGGAATCGGGAGAAAAGAGGGGGAATGAGGAAAATAGAGTGGGAATCAACAGTGGGAATGAGGAGAGAACGGAGGGAATGAGGAAAAAACAGCAGTAGGAACGAGGAAAAGAGTGGGAATGTGGAGAAAAGTGCAGTGGGAATGAGGAAAAAAGAGGGGGAATGAGGAAAAAACAGCAGGAATGAGGGAAAAACAGCAGTGGGGATGAAGAGAAAAAGGTGGGAATGAGGAAAAGAGAGTGGGGATGAGAAGAGAACAGTGGGAATGAGGAAAAAACAGCAGGAATGAGGGAAAAACAGCAGTGGGGATGAAGAGAAAAAGGTGGGAATGAGGAAAAGAGAGTGGGGATGAGAAGAGAACAGTGGGAATGAGGAAAAAACAGCAGGAATGAGGAGAAAGTGTGACTGGAAAAGGAGGGAAAAACGTGAAATTGAAAACAGAAAGGGAAAACCCCGATTAGGAACTGGGGAGAAAAGCGAGAGAAAAAGAAAAGAGGAGTGAAGGAAAAGCGTGAGGAAGAAATGGAAAAGGGCGGAGAGAAAATGGGGGAAAGTGTGAGGAGAAAACAGGGAAAAAATAGGGGAAAGGGCAAGGGAAGAGAGGAGGGAAAAACGGGAGAAAAGGGGAGGGAAGGGCGAGAGGAAAAAGGGGAAAAGGAGAAAATGGGGGAGAAAAACTGAAAAAAAAAATTTTTAAAAAAATGAGGGAAGAGAAAGGAGAAGTTGGAGAGAAAAATGGGGCAAAGTGTCAGGAAAAAACGAAACCGCGGCACAAAATGGAGGGAAAAACTCAGGGGAAAGAGGAGCAGGGAGCACTGAGACCCCAAATCCTACAGAGGACCCCAAAATCATACAGAGGACCCCAAAATCCTGCACAGGCCCAAATTCCATCTCCCCCCCAAATTCCATCCCACCCCCCAAATCCCAGCGTGGTTTTGGCGCAGCCCCCCCAAATTCCCCCCCGGATTTTGGGGGTCTCAGGGACAGAGAGGCCGGCACACAGGACCCCAAAATCCATACACGGGATCCCAAAATCCTACAGAGGACCCCCAAAATTTACAGAGGACCCCCAAATCCATGCACAGGAACCCCAAAATTTACACAGGACCCCCAAAAAGCCACACGGGACCCCCAAATCCTACAGAGGAATCCCTAAATCTACACAGGAACCCCAAATCCATAAACAGGACCCCAAAATTTACACAGGATCCCCCAAATCTACACAGGACCCCCAAATCCTACAGAGGAACCCCAAAATTTACACAGGACCCCCAAATCCATAAACAGGACCCCCAAATCCTACACAGAACTACACAGGACCCCAAATTCAAACACAGGACCCCCAAATCTACACAGAACCCCAAAATTTACACAGGATCCCAACATTTACACAGGACCCCAAAAAGCCACACAGGACCCCCAAATTCATACACAGGAACCCCAAAAAGCCACACGGGACCCCCAAATCCTACAGAGGACTCCCAAAAGTTACACAGGACCCCCAAATCCTACACAGGAACCCCAAATCCATAGAGAGAACCCCCAAATCCATACACAGGAACCCCAAAATTTACACAGGAACCCCAAAAAGCCACACAGGACTCCCAATCCTATAGAGGAATCCCTAAATCTACACAGGAACCCCAAATCCATAAACAGGACCCCAAAATTTACACAGGATCCCCCATCTCAGGGACAGAGAGGCCGGCGGTGCTGGAGGGGGGGCTGAGGGGGGGGTCCCGGGGTGTCGGTGCCCCCCCAAAAACGCGGCCCCCCCCCCTTTTCAGAGCAGCAGTTTTGCGGGGGGCGCCTGGAGAAGCCCCAGGGCAGCCTGAGCACCCCGAACTGGCCCGAGGAGAATTACCCGCCCGGGGTCAGCTGCTCCTGGCACATCGTGGGCCCCCCCGGAAAGGTCTGGGGGTCCCGGGGGTCCGGGGGGGTCAAAGCCACACGGGACCCCCAAATCCTACAGAGGAATCCCTAAATCTACACAGGAACCCCAAATCCATAAACAGGACCCCAAAATTTACACAGGATCCCCCAAATCTACACAGGACCCCCAAATCCTACAGAGGAACCCCAAAATTTACACAGGACCCCCAAATCCATAAACAGGACCCCCAAATCCTACACAGAACCCCAAATTCATACACTAGACCCCCAAAATTTACACGGAACACCCCAAATCCCTGGGAGAGCCCCCCCGGACCCCCCCAAATCCA